AGCCAGTGCTCAAACCTGGTTACTGCAGGGAAACATCACAGATGCCTCAGCAACGGAAAACTGAGGAGCGCAGGCTCAGGAGAGGTGACCCTGCGCCAACACCACACGCCTAGCACACGCACTCACACACAGCCAGGCTCCTCTGATGAGCAGGACAGACAGCTGTTAAACCAAGTTCAGCACGAAGCTGAGGCTTCCCTTCACTTCCTTTTCAACTGATTCGAAAAACAACAAAGCCACAGGCATCGGTATGGAGTTTACACAAGGGTTTCAGGTGTCCCTAGCATGTGATATTTGAGCCTTTTCAAACGAGTATCTCCAGTTACTACCACTTCCAGCACAAGAACCACAGACTCTTCTAACACCTCCATGGACAGACTCCAGGGTCAGTATTGGGACTGGCGCTGTTTAACATCTTTGTTGGTGACATGGACAGTGGGATCCAGTGCACCTTCAGCAAGTTTGCCAATGACACCAAGCTGTGCAGTGCGGTCAACACGCTGGAGGGGAAGGGGTGCCATCCAGAGGGATCTGAACAGGCTTCAGAGCTGGGCCTGTGTGAATCTCATGAGGTTCAACAAGGCCAAGAGCAAGGTCCTGCACATGGTTGGGGCAATCCCAAGCACAAACACAGGCTGGGCAGAAAATGGATCGAGGGCAGCCTTGAGGAGAAGGACGTGTGCGTGCTGGTTGATGAGAAGCTCAACACGACCCAGCAATGTGTGCTTGCAGCCCAGAAAGCCAACAACATCCTGGGTGGCATCAAGAGCAACGTGGCCAGCAGGTCGAGGGAGGGGATTCTGCCCCTCTACTCTGCTCTGGTGAGACCCCACCTGGAGTCCTGCATCCAGCTCTGGAGCCCCCAGCACAGGAAAGACATGGACCTGTTGGAGCGGGTCCAGAGGAGGATGTCCACAAAAATGAGCAGAGGGCTGGAACACCTCTCCTATGAGGAAAGGCTGAGAGAGTTGGGGCTGTTCAGCCTGGAGAAGAGAAGGCTCTGTGGAGACCTTCTAGCAGCCTTCCAGTACCTGAAGGGGCCTACAAGAAAGCTGGAGAGGGACTTCTTACAAGGGCCTGTAGTGAAAGGACAAGGGGGAATGGCTTTGAAAGAGGGTAGATTTAGATTAGACATAAAGACGAAATTCTTTACTGTGAGGGTGGTGAGGCACTGGAACAGGCTACCCAGAGAAGCTATGGCTGCCCCCTCCCTGGAAGTGTTCAAGGCCAGATTGGATGGGGTTTTGAGCAACCTGGTCTAGTGGAAGGTGTCCCTCCCCATGGCAGAGGGGTTGGAATCAGGTGATCTACAAGGTCCCTTCCAACCCAAACCATTCTACGATTCTTCTCAATAATTTCCCCAGGCAAGGATCTTCTATCATAGCCACAGTCCCATTCACCCAAGTCCCCACCCGTCTTACCCAAAACTCAGCAAACCTTCCCAGATCTGATAGCCTGGGATTCCTATCCCTCCCTCCATCTTGGCTGCCTCCCACCTTGCTCTTATCTTCAATATAAGGGATCCTGAAACAATAATGAAGAATGAGAGGCTGGACCAAGTCTTGCACTACGAACAACCATCTCAAGGACATCAGAAAAGACATAGGGACATGCTACAGATGCAGGACAGAACAAGGCCCAGTGCCTTGCTAATCTGAAGTATCTACCCATCATGCTCCTAAAGCCACTATTTTTACAAGACGGACTCCATCCTTTTTCGCTTGACACCAATTTTTTTTTTAAACCTGTGCAGAGAGCAGTTATATTTGGTGGCACAATAACAAGGAATAAAAAAAAAAAATCAACATTGTTTTCAAAAGCAATAGCACCAACAACAACTTCCAAGGGCAAAACATGGAGTAGAAGGTGAGTAAATACAGTATTTGCTGTACAGTCTGATCCACAGAAGATATTAAGGAGAGCTCTGACCAAAGGGCAGAGCTGGCCATCTGCTTGATCCTTTCGTTATTGACTTCTCTCTTTTTTCCTCTGTTGACCAAAACTGAAGATAAACGTTTTCTTTTCTTGGCCTCTTTAAACTAATATGATGCATCCTTTACACCCATCCACTGTGAACGGAGGCAGCCAGTCCATTTCACATAACTTTCCCTTTCCTTTGAAGACTGGGCCAAAGTGTTGCATATTCATTACCACATTAAAAACACTTTGCCTGAGGCCTGCATTTCTTGGTGTGCTGTAATGAGTTCAGGACCCCAGCTGTCTGCCTGGGGATTTAGAACACTGATATTTAATAGTAAATTATAAGGCAGAATATTTCATTTTACTTTTTTTGCTGAAGTAGCATATTTGTAATGGTACACTCTACAGCCATTAAATAAAGATTGGGAGAGCACATCTTTCTGTTCAGACAACACAGTCTCCGGCTTTCCATGGTCTGGCCCCAGCCAGTTCAGTTTTTGGATGCCAGCCTCTGCTCTTAACCCATAATTGGGTCTCCCTAATGTCACATCTCCCACTAGCATCTAATAATACACTGGTGTAAACCACAACATATTCCTAGCATGTTTATAGAAGCCAATTTAGAGCCTACTGTAGTAAGAGCTTTAACAAGCCCTACACACAGCAGAGCAGCTAATAAAACCAAAGTGTTCTGCCATTAATTAAAAACTAATTAAACCTGGAAGTTTGCCACTGAGATGCCACCAACACCATTTCAGGGGTAGTGGATTCATCAAGCCCAAACCCTGCTTCCATCTAATGAAACAGCGTAGATCTAGGTTCTGACAACACACCTCCCAGCTTTATGCTTCCTCTGGGTTCTCCAATGACAATCCATGAAACATGTACAGCATCAGACCTGAACTGGGAAATTTTTTAAAGAACATCAGCATTCTGCAAGGAACAGCAGAGTAATTAGTATTCCTCTAACTAGTGTCAGATGTGTTTAAAAGCCACAAAGATAAACAGGAGGGGAAAAACCTGCATAGTTTGAACTGAAGCTAGTAAGAGCATAAATCATCCCCTCCAACAGCTGCAAGCTGACAGACCAAGTTCCTACTAATTCTTCTTCCTCTTCAAACCTGTCTTTCATACCTGCTTTCCTACTTGAAATGACACAAGCATGCACCTCTTCAGAGTCAGTGTGCTGCGGTAGAACATGTTAAAGATAAAAAATGATTAGTCCAGTTTTCTTCCAGAAATGCTCCGAGACACCCAGTGCCTCAACTACCAAGAAACCCTGAACCACTACCTTCTGGTATGCTACCTTACCTGACTGCAATGGGAGAGACATAGGAACAGTCTTGTATACCTCATGACAACTGCTTCAGCACCACAGGAAACACAGCCCTTCCCTTGAACATACTGCTTTGCCTTTTTTCTTTCTGCATACTTCTTCCCCAAAATTAATGGCTAGTTTGAGTTGTTAGTGGTCTGACAGAGAAAGACACACACAGCCGAGCAACACAGAATGGGTCATAGTTCTTTTAATCCCCTACATGGAAAGAAAAAAAGAAGAAAAAAAATAAAAACGAGAGAGAGAGGAAGAAGTCTTTCCTGTGACTAGTTTTGATTCAAATAATCTTGTCCCCACTCTGCTATATTAGCATATAGATAGCTTCAATAGATGCCCAACTGCAAAGCTCTGATCCTGCCACTTATCTGCTGGAACAGAACATAGAATCACAGAATGGTAGAGGTGGGAAGGGACCTCTGTGGGTCATCTAGTCCAACCCCCCTGCCAAAGCAGGGTCAACTACAGCAGGCTGCACAGGACCTCATCCAGGCAGGTCTGGAATATCTCCAGAGAAGGAGCCTCCACAAACTCCCTGGGCAGCCTGTTCCAGGGCTCCATCACCCTCAGAGGGAAGAAGTTCTTCCATGTTCCAGTCCCCTCATCATCCTTGTAGCCCTCCGCTGGACTCTCTCCAGTAGCTCCTCATCTTTCTTGAACTGGGGAGCCCAGAACTGGACAAAGTCCTCCAGATGGGGCCTCACTAGGGCAGTGAAGAGGGGAAGGAGAACCTCCCTCGACCTGCTGGCCACACTTCTCTTAATGCACCCCAGGACACCATTGGCCTTTTTGGCGACCAGGGCTCACTGCTGGCTCATGATTAACTTGTCATCCAGCAGCACTGCCAGGTCCTTCTCCACAGAGCTGGTCTCCAGCAGGTCCACCCCAAGCCTGTACTGATGCATGGGGTTGTTCCTTCCCAGGTGCAGGACCCTGCACTTGCCCTTTTTGAATTTCATCAGGTTCCTCTGCACCCAACTCTCCAGCTTGTCCAGGTCTCGCTGAATAGCAGCACAGCCTTCTGGTGTATCCACCACTCCTCCCAGTTTTGTGTCATCGGCATATTCATTCCTTCACAAGCAGCAAGAAACTACCCGCACGCAATGCTCTGACTGAACTCCTTCTACTTCAGTTCTCCGATTTCACCTATATCTTGACATGTATAGGAACCCTTTTAAGTTCTGGAGTAGAACAGAAAATAAATGTCCTTCTGTGCAGGATATGGTTTCTGTTACCTTTACTGTCTACTCCAGCCTTTAGGATAATTGAGGTTAGGACCTAGAATAAACAGAACCCTACTTCAGAAAGGCAGAGAAGACCTATAACCACACACTCCCCTTGCACATCTAGCCCAAACTGGAAGCCATTACTAGATGGTCCCTGCAAACATGACTTCAGCAGGGATCAGTGGGTAAGGCTACAAGCTCAGTGGTTTGGCAGTAGTGGTGCCTAAAGAGGAGGACAGTTTGTACTAGGTAATCGCACCTTAACTTCAGAGCCCACACTATCAGTTTTAGCCTTTACAGTGTCTCGCTCCTCTCTGCACAGCCAGTCCAGTGACCAATAGCTGCCTGGAAACAGGAAGGAAAAACTGCTTAAACACAACATTGTTTGCTTTTTGTTTATTTTCAAGACATCTGTATCACAATTTTTAAACCAAGTAACAGGGTCAGTTCAGGGACTGCTCACCAGCAATGCCTGCAAAGAGGTCAGAGATAACACAACATCATCTATGAGCAAAGCCAACATTTTCCATCACACAATATACACAACCAGCAATGACTTTCCATCTCCTGTCTAAATCCAGCTCATCCTCCTCCTGATAGGAAGGAGTGGAGCTCACAGCATATTTCTCAGCCTTTTCAGCACAGATTTATTCCCCACCATGAAATGCAACCACAAAAGAGCCCACACCAAATTACATTAGCTCCCCACAGCTCACACTGAAAAGAAGCACTGACACTTCAGCAAGCGTGTGCCTACTGGCACCTCAGAGCCCATAATCACACGCCTCAGGGCTGTTCTTCAAATAGAGCTGGAGGTAATCTTTGTATATCTGTGGGTCAGTCATTGTAGCCTTGACAGCAGGGTCCTCTTTCATGGCTTCCATCCAGCGTTGGAGCTTTGGGGTGTGATTCAAAGCGCTACAGGAAAAGGAAAGAGACTGAGTAACTCAAATGGGAAACTTGGAGGGCATCAAGGAAGCAAAACAGCTTGAGCGGTTCTATTTTACTGCTTGTTTTGCTTTCTCCCTCCCAGTATAATGTTCAGCTCAGAGCAGGTGACAGAAATACGTATCCTCACAGAAGACAGACTAGCGTTTGGGAAGTGAAAGAGTTCTTGCAGAGCTTGTGCACTCTCCAAAGCTGAGCAAAAACACAAATGAGCACTTATTGTGCAAGATATCAGCATGTTTCTGCTTACATCATCCCTGCTGCAAAGACACAGCTCTTCTTTATCATCTGCTTGGAGTTGAGGGCAGAGGCTTGTGCACCACTGCCTCCCTCTGGAATGCTTTGTTAATGGTGATTCTTGAAGCAAATGCTGTGTGCAGTGGTTGAGTCCTCCTCCACAACCCACGAACCTCTTCTCTCCTCTCTCTTGAATACCAGGACAAGCTGTGCGGTTTGTACTACCCTGCAACCCAGCAGCTCAGAATGCAGATGCAGTCTATTGAGGAAGCTGAGGATTCAACTAACCGACCAAATCCACAAACCCACTCAGACACGCTTGAAAAAAACCCACCGTGTGGCAAATTGAAATTACACTTAACAGTGTAAACTGTTATTTTAATTTTCATCTGGCAGATTGACCCAAGTACTCTGCATTACAGTTTCCAACTCCCAACTTTAGTTAATGCATAACTTCTCCAGGTAATGCCTAATCCTTACCTAGAAAGCATCTTTTCTTAACATACAATGGCTCAGATCCTCAGACATTCAAACACCTTAATGACTCACAACCTACACCCTTATATTGCTTGTAATATTTCCCCTTCCAACCAAGAAACACACAGGTAAAAGTAGGTCAGCAACCCATTCGTGAAGCCCTTATTTTACAGCGCACAAAAGTTTCAATGCTAAGGATTCCCTGCGGATTTCTTGTTCTTCAAGCATGGTTCAGGTGAGACCAGCTGTTCTATATCCATCTTCTGCTTTTATCACCCACGTCCTCATACAAGATCACTCTTTAGTTCCGTTTTATAACTGGAGCTTTTTTAAGGATACAACAGACCAAGACACTTATTTATGTATCAAAAAAATGCTGTTACAACATGGACAGTTCTATCAGCTACAGCAAGATAGGATACAGTTTACCCATCTCAAAACAAAAATCACTCTTTGTAAACCTAGGATTTCCAAAGAGCAGCAGAAGACTGCATTTCAAGTCTGAGGTTTTGGACCAAGAAATTTGAACCAAGGTCTCCATACCTCCATCCCCCACAAATTAAGACCATTTTCATCTATGATGTTAGGGATGGAGAGAAAGTCCTGTATTTTGCCCACTTCTTCCAGATCTGTTGAAATTATTGAGTAGGAAAATCGACCTGGTGAAAGAAAGCTTGTTTACAGAAGATCCCTGAACAACTCATCTCTCTTTTGAGCACATTGCTTCCCTCAAACTGTAACACAATACAAACTTACTTCAGCAGCCCTCAAAAGTGGCCCATTGGTGGAGAGTGGATGCAAAGAATATTTACACTGAGGCACTTCAGTATGTACTAGAAGCTAGGCGGGGTGGTACTCACTCCTTCAGCTGGAACGATTCCAGACGCTCAAACCACGGCCACATCAGGTAGTCGAGCATGGAGATTGAATCCCCACCATAAAACACAGTATTGCGTTTGGACAGAATCTGTGAGGGGCGAGAGATGACAATTGCTCTCAGAAAGTTACCACAACAGAACACTACAGTAACAAAAAGCCCACTTCGTAGTGGAATGCAGGCATACTGCAGGGATCGGACGGCATATAATGCAGATACAGCACATTTATCCTGCGCATGCAGTATCTGGGGAGTCAGAGCTAGTCAGTAAAGCAGCTGTAGTATCAAGCTTAACTATGTCATACACTGTCAGTCCAACTCTTCTCCAGAGGTTCAAAAACTGCCACAAAATATTAATCACCAGCGAGCTGCAGCTGATGAACAAACAAACCGGAATTTAGCTCTCAGAATCTGTTAGTTCATGATTTCTTACTTGTCAAAAAGCATTAATGGCACAGACTAATCAAACATAACTATGCACATGCATTTCTTAAGCAATAAATCCAGCTAAACTTAACATCCAGGTAAGCTGGAACACTGTTTTAGCAGTGACTCTTTTCCCACGGCACTTTGGCCAGGTGGTGTCAGGAAAGCATTTCTAACATTACATCTAGAACTGGATTTGATTCCAGATGCAAAGGGAACAGGAAACAAATCTAACATCCCCATACACCAGGAAGAGACCCCCACAGCTCAGCACAGAAAGCAGGGCCACAAAAAATGCAGCAAGTTCTCCTATTACATTCATGTTTCTGATACGTTTCAAGTGCCACAGTCATCCAAGTTTAACATGCTTTAAGGAACCTCCAAAGCTTGGCCTCTTCTTTCATAAAACTAGTGCCTCTGTTTTCAGGCATTTTGGCATTTTAAAGGTGGAACTCAGGAGACCTTACAAATCTTCGTCTTTTTGGACACACAACATCATATTCCCATGACATTTGCTCCCTGTCGCCTAACACCCATGATCTAGTACAAGTTTTAAAGCAGTCCTTCAGGAAGCGTCAAGCTGTTTGAATCACCAGGTGCTTGGCAGAATATAACCCAGAAGTTGCACAGTCGCAGAGCCAGGAAGGCAGCCCCCTCTGTCGGGCAGCAGCAAACCAAACACAGAAGTATTGAAAAACACTGCCCTTCTTGACTACCCCTTGCAATAGGCTGAGTTAAATTTCCACGGCTCTGCTCCTTCCCCCCATCCTCAGCTGACCTTCAGGTGCTGCTGAAAAATCCTTCAGCGTATAGTAAAATAGAGACACTGAAGGAGCAGCAAATATTTCACAGCATTAATAAAGCAGGAAGTAGGTGAGTTATTCCTTCACGTTTAATAGATCTGTATTTCAGGGAAGTGAAACACACATGGCTTCCCCCAAGAACTGCTCTACTCCAGCATCAGCCTTACCAGACAGACAAGACTACCCTGAAAATTTTACTTTGGCAACTCAGGTGGGCTGGGAAGCAGAATGCACAGGACTGTTAGGAGAAGTAGGAAAGTACTAGAAAGCTATGGGTAGCTTTGCACCAGAAGAGAAACACTGGAGAAACACTTCTTGATCCAGCCAGGCAAGCATCAGTCGTGGCTGCCAAAGATGCAGAAGGAATGGGTTCATGATAAAGGCAAGTCCAATACCTGTTCAGACTAGCCAAGAACCACTACTGACACGGATTGTGAAGTTGCTAAGAAAGCATCAGAGCCACCTGACACTTCCTGGAGCTCTGCTGAACTTGCATTACACCACCGTAGCAGAACATGGCCCAGGTACAGATTTCTATAAGGGACGGATTACATTCTGCCTCCCCCTACCCCCAACAAAGATAAGCTCTTCAACAAAGAAGATTTTGTATCATTACCAGGGTATCTGCCCTGATTTCAGCAGAGCTACAGCACAGATGCTCTTCAGTAGCTCAGACTCCTCAGCCCTTGCTCTCAGGACATGCAGTAAGGCCTCCTTATATTTAAAGCTCAGCAAAGACACCTAAAGCAACAGTAGTCAGATAGAATTAAAAAAAACTCCACAAGTCCACAAAGCCTTCATCATACAGATGAAGTTTAGTTTAGCAACTTGGAATCTACTCTAATGGTGCTGTTGTGCATCCTAGGCTGGGGGAAGTAAATCGAAAGATTGTTCATTGCTGTGACTGCCAACTAAATGAGAAGAGATCTAGCTCCAAAGGCCAAAGCATGAAAGACAAAAGGGATCATACAGTGACTGGTAATCTGCTCATTATCATGAAATACTCTTACCTCTTCAAGCTTGCCAAACTTTTCAGCAATCTCTGCTTTCAGTGCCGTGGCGTCCTGTCCATCTTTGACTGCCACAAAATACTTGAAAACTATGGGTGTTATCTATACAAAGGAAGTACAAAGTTTTTAATGCTCCCATTACAATAATGCCAGCAAGTCAGAGCTTAAAACATTAAGTTAGATGTTAAGATATTAGATGCAAATTAAGTCTTCAAGATTTAACTTTAAAGAGTTAAATCAAGTCCATTAATAAAAATCTTTCTACTTCAGAAAAGGTAAGCAAAGGCTGAAAGGAGGAATGAATGCAAATACTAATTTATTTTAGTCTCGTAGTAAGAAGAGACCAATGAAAAGAAGGGTATGTTTCCCATTTGCACACACTACCAAAAAAGTAGCAATAAAAGTGGCAAGGTGCAGAGTGGTACTCGTTTCCCAGTCACACATTTCTGAAATCCAAATGCACTTTATTATCAGCATTTAAGGTGCTTTAAGAAAGATACGCAGCCCAGGATATGCAGGCTTCTACAAACCTGTGCATCTTCCAATTTGCTAATTGCCAGAGAAAGTAGCATACTGTACCAGAAAGTCGCCCAGTGGCCAAGCTTATATTCTTAAAAGCTCATAGACAAACATTTTTCTAAGACCTTGTCATTCATACAACCAACATTCACCACGTTCCCTTTCTTGCAATACACTTCCCTGTAACCCTCTTCCTATCATGCCCACTCAGAAAGGCCTGTTGTAAATCGCTCCTCCGCTCTACCACGCTTCTTTGTCCACATCTCTTTGCATCTTCCATTGCTGCCTCACATCCAAACTGACTTCATTCACTTCCTAGACCCTTTAAGGCACATGCTTGTACAGAGAGGTTACTCCCAGTCAGCCACAGTGCCCACCTCCAACTCCTGCTGAGAGCCAAAACCAGTCTCCTTACACATGTTCCATGTCTACAGCCACCTGCCATCTCTTGTCCATGGTTGTAGGCTCTCTCAGATGGTGGAACTCTTCGCATTCTGCATTCATACAGTACTTCCTACAGAAAGACTCAGATCACAATACCGCAATTGTCACTGCCTAGGTCTCGAGCATTCAGCTAGTTTCATCTACTAACACTTCCTCTGTTGTAGGATGCTAAAAATCCTGCCTCAGTCATACACGCTGTCACTAGCTTAGCTGTCTTCCTGCATCCATCCCTATGCATAAATGCTGTGACCAATTCAGATGCATGGTGGTTTGTACAAGAGACCCCAAATAACCCCTTTGGTTATTTAAATGCTTCTCCCAGACACAAGACTTCTCTCTTAAAGGACAAAAGCAGATTTGGCAACAGAGCTGCAGTTTTTGGCACCATAGTAAAGTAAGAAACACAATTCCACCCTGACCACACAGCACCTTTGAGAATTGTTCCAGGAGCATCTTCTGAACGGCTCGCTCGTACGGGTCCGAAGGCATCAACTTCTTTCCCGGAAATGCTTCATCCAAATACTCACAAGTGATTGGGGACTCACAAATCAGCTGGCCCTTGCTGGTCTCCAGAACAGGAACCAGCCCAAAGGGGTTCTTTTCAAAGAACCAGTCAGGTTTGTTCTTCAGATTGATGTTGATCACTTCATGGCTGAAAAGAGTGAAAGAAACAAGCTCCAAACAGGCTCAGTTCTACTACAGTTCACTCCATACCATGGTGAAATGCAGTCGTTACACCTCAACAGCTATGGTACTTCAGAGGCTGAGTCCTCGTTCCCCTGCTCTTCCTAGTCTTCCCTGAAGTCCTTTGCAGAACTAACCCTTTGACACACAGAAATACTGACAGGGAGCACTTCCCTTTGCTGGAGAAAATCAGCACTCACTTACAATGAGTTGTTTGTTAAACTAATAAAAAGACACATGAACAGTCTGCAAGCACACAGAGGCAGCCCTCACAGTCACACTCAAAAACAAAGGTCAAGCTCAGGATGCAGCACATTTATCACATGCAGGTTCAGGGACACTCTAAGAAAGAAGCACTTAATTGTAAATAAGCTACATTCTAATTAAGAAATGCAGTTAGACTTTAATCAGACCTTACATCAAAGCGTACATCAGGTGAGCCTCCCATTTACTTGTCTTTACCGCCTATGGCCTCACATAGAACAGGTGTGCAGGGTAAAGGCAAAATAGATATTGACAAAAAAGACACATGGGAAACACATCTCTGTCATATTAACAAAGCATGTTATATGCTGCGCTATATGTGTGACCCCAGAAAATTTCTAGTAAGCCCAAAGGTCTGGTAAACACAGCTGAACCTTCAAAACAACTGAAAGGTTAGCAAAGGGCACCTACCACATTTAGGTACCAATAAAACCCCTCCAAAATCGCCATATTAAAACAAACCTCCCAGCTCAAAAAAACAGTCCAAAGACACTAAATAAAAACAAAATTAAACTGACCTGGAAGTTCTAACGCACCTACTCTTTGGAAAAAAGATCCAAGAACAAAACAAACCAACCAACGAACCAAACCAGTATCTCATCTTGCTATCAGAAGAAATGGGTGGTAAGCATTCGCTATGCTAAGATGGACTCCCAGCCCAGTGCTGGTTAACAAACCATTGGCAGGCCTGGGACTTGGTGGGAATCAGCAGGTGGAAAACCCTGTTACTTTGAAGCTGTAAACTGAGGGAAGCATCAGTCCCCATGTAAAAACACTGAAATGACATGGCTATCTTGAAGGGGAAACAAACACAAGTACTGAATGCCATTAATTTACTACAGCACAGGAATGAGAAGACGTTATAGGAACAGAGTACATTGTGTCCTCCTCTTTTAAAAGCGCCGCTCACCCACTATTGTGTTTTGCTAAGCAGTAATATAACAGAAACACTGAATATTTGTGTCTCCCAGAACTTTCACTGCAGCTTACACCAAAGCCAAACAACATACAGTAAGGCTCTACTCACATTTACCCAGAACAAGCTCAAATGCTATTGTTGCAAACATTCAGCATGACAGGTGAGAGGAGAAAAAAAAAATTAGCTTGGAGTTTTTCCCTAAAGATTTACTTTGGGCCTTTACATAATTGATTTCATACACAGCCTACTCCTTTCCCACGTCAGCACGACACCGCTCCCCGCAAAAAAAGTCTTGAGAAGTTCAAGCTTTATAGCAAAACCACGCACAGAAACCCCTTTCCACTCGGTTCTCTCGGGGATGTTTAACTCGGAGCCACTCGGGATGCCCAGGCAAGAAGGGAAGCTTGAACCACACT